AGCCACTGGAAACCTTATGAATAGAAGCAGAAAATTGTCAAATATATTACCAGAAGCTGAAAACATTGTGAATAGGAGCAGAAAATGATCATCTATCATGTCAGAAGAATGAGCCCCTCAGGTTGGAAGGTATTTAAAATGAGACTAGGGTAGAGCTGCCTCCTCAGAGTAGGAGTACAGGTCTACTCTGCAACACATTGGATCACCGTGAACTGGAAATGAATTGATTTTGGTAATTGGGCAGATAAAGAATGAGAGAGAAACAGAAACCTGAAAGAAAATCCACTTCCTCTGGGTACTGTGGTCGGACTGAGAAGGAAGCCTGCAGGCTGGAGGGAGAATGGTTTACAGGTGAGAAGGAGGCTGGGTCTGACCCCAGCCGGTAATACCTCTATGCTTCACAGAAGAGGACTGGAGAATGAGATGGAGAAATGTTGTGGGAAGCTCTTCTATATAAGCTGCTCAGGGGAGATAGAAGGAATTTGCTGTTGGTCAGAGAGAGAAGAGCTCTGAAGATGAGCATGTTGAAGGAGGTTGGCCATGGCGTGTTGGTGGTAGGCGAGTAGAAGAGCACCGAGGCAGGAACTGCTGAGTGGATGACAGCACCTCTGACCAGAGGTCTGAAACAGTCACCACCAAGAGTTTCAAATCCTTGGAAGGAAAAATTTAGATAAGTTCTGGAAAAAGAATTGACTTCTTGCTAAACAAAGAGGTGAAGGCCCCAAATATTAAGATGCAAGGTGTTGCTGTTTAAATGTATCATGCATGTATTGCCACAAGAAGAAATGTCTGGAACCTACTGGTTATAGAAATTATAACCCATTTGCGAGGTGTCCTGGGATCTCTGACTCAGAGTATATGAACACAAGAAAACTATTAGTCGGGAATGACAACTAATGACAGAACTAATTAGCTGGCAATGACAAAAGCCATATGCTATGCATTAACTTCAGTTTGGAAGTCATTTGCAAGAACTATAAAATAAAAGTTGCACAACCAAATTTCAGCTCAATTTCACTTCCAAATTGGTCCTTTAACTGTTGTACATTCATTCTTAGGACCTTTGTTCTCAGTTGTTCCTCTCTATGCTGTTCTTGGAACCCAGGGGTGTTTTTGTCCTGGCTTTCTCTCTCTTTCTAATCCAAGGACTTCAACCTGGATCCTTGCCCTTTCACTTGATTACTTCAAGCCTTCAGCAGTCTGAATGCAGAGAATGCAGCAGGCAAGGCCTGACCGCTACAGAACTACAGTCAAGCAGGGAAGGAAGACATTGAAGGAGTAATTCGAAGTATAGAATGCTTTGAAACCTGAGGATGGGCTTACCTGACCTAGCCTAGATTGGTGTCTTAGTTATCTAGTGCTGCTATAACAGAAAGACTACATAGATGACTTTTTCACACAGCAATACATTTTCTCACAATTTATGAGGCCATCGTCTGAATTCAGGGTGCCTGCTCTAGGGGAAGCCGTTTTCTCTCTGTGGACTCTGGAGGAAGGTCTTTGTCTCTTCTGAGTTTCTGCTTCTGGACAACCTTCCTGTAACTTGGTATATCTCGTCTCTCTTCTCTGTTCTCTCTCATGTTTGATTAATCTCTTTTATATCTCAAAAGAGATTGACTCAAGATACAGCCTAATCCTGCTTCATTAACATAATTAACATCAACCAATCCCCATTAATATAACCTGAACTCTGGTAGCGTAGTGGTTATGGTATCAGGCTGTGAACCTCAAGGTCAACAGTTTGAAACTACCAGCTGTTCCGCAGGAGAAAGATGAGGCTTTCTGCTCCCATAAAGATTTACAGCTTCTGAAACCCTGTACTGTGTCGCTATGAGTAGAAACCGACTCCATGACACATAACCACCAACTACCACCAATTCTGTCTCATTAGCCACAGGAAGAAGTTAGAATTTACAACACATATTTTTGGATTATATGAAGAAGAGTGTGGCATCAGGATTGGAGGAAGACTCATTAACATACTATGATAAGCAGATGATATAACCTTGTTTACGGAAAGCCAAGAGGACTTAAAATACTTATTGATGGAGATCACAGACTACAGCCTTCAGTATGGATTGCATCTCAATGTAAACAAAACCAAAATCCTCACAACTGGACCAATAAATAACACTATAATAAATGGAGAAAAGA